GGGAGGGGGGCTGGGAGGAGGAGGAGGCGGAGGAGGGAGGAGGAGGAGGAGGAGGAATCGGAGTAGGAAGGATGGGGAGGACGAGGAGTACGAGGAGGAGGAGGAGGAGGAGGAGGAGGAGGAGGAGGAGGAGGAGGAGGAGGAGGAGAGAGGGGAGACGGACGTGCTCGCGATGTGTGTATATGTATGTGCATATGTGTGTGTGTGCATGTTTGCACGTGTATGGGCGTTGCATGTGTAGAATGCGTATTTGTGTGTATGTGCATGTGCGTAAGTATGTTTGTATGTGTGTATGTGTACAGTGTTTGATAGTATGTGCATGCATGTGGCCATGTGTGAGAGTACGTACATATCCGTATACGTGTGTATCAAATACCCAATCTGGCCCCACCGAATCCCCTCTGATCATATCCCATCCCTTCCCCTGCCATCCCCTCCGCTGCAATTCCACTCGTGCCGTCCACTCCCATCTCTTCTGGGGCGTCCCCTGCCATGCGATCCAACGCCAGCCCCCCCCCCATTAGAGGTTCGTGCAGTGCCGCCAGCTCCGCGTCATGCTGTCACACTTCCAGCGGGACCAATCGCGGAGCTCCTCGAAGGTCGACTCCGTCGGTGACGAGGCCGAGGACTGAGTTTTTTCACACCCTGGTAGGATCGGCAAGATTAGCAGCAGCAGCAGCAGCAGCAGCGCAGCAGCAGCAGCAGCAGCAGCAGCAGCAGCAGCAGAAAGCAGCAACGACCAGAGGACCAGATCAGCATGAAGATCCGAGGACGGATAGCAGGAGCAGGAGAAGCAGCAGGAAGAGCAGCAAGAGCAACGCAGCAATATGACCAGAGCAGCAGGAGCAACGTAGCGAGAGCAGCAGCAGGAGCAACGTAGCAGGAGCAGGAGCAGCAGCCTGAGGATGAGCAGGATGCTTTGATATCGATGTTCCTCTCACTCGGGGGTGACGGCGCGAGACACGACGGCCCGCAGACCCCGCGGGACGAGTTCGACATCGAAGACGTTGACGAACAGGAGCTGCAGAACTACTTCAAGCTGATCTCCGAGGAATGCGATCTGCCTTTCTTTTTTCAAAGGGGGCAATTTCATCCCCCCCTCTCTGTTTCTGAAGTTTTAAGGCTCCAGGACTTGAGGCGTCCGTCAGGATCTAGCGTCCAACCCTCTTCGGGATCGATTGCCCAACCCTCTTCGCCCCCCTCATTGAGGGAATGGCCTGCAAGGATGAAGGGAGGGGGAGAGGGGACGGGGTGCGAGAAGGAAGGAAGCGAGGCGAGGGAAGGGACTTAAGAGGGAGGGGGAGGGGGAGGGGGAGGATGCGGAGGAGGAGGAGGAGAAGGAGCAGCAGGAGGAGGAGGAGCAGGAGAAGGAGGAGGAGGATGAGGAGGATGGAGACGAGGATGGTGATGATGATGATGTTGATGATGATGATGACGATGATGATGATGATGATGATGATGATGATGATGATGATGATGATGATGATGATGCTGATCATGATGATGATGGTGATGATGATGGTGATGATGTTGCTGTTGTTGGTGATGCTGATGATGATGATGATGATGATGATGATGATTACGATGATGATGGTGATGATGATGACGGTGATGATGATGACGATGACGATGACCATGATGCTGATGATGATGATGCTGACGATGCTGGCGATGCTGATGATGATGATGATGATGATGATGATGATGATGATGATGATGATGATGGTGATGGTGATGGTGGTGGTGGTTGTGGTGGTGATGATGATGATGACGGTGACGATGAGCCACATAAGAACGCTTCTCATCTTGAGGATGCTGAGAATGATCCCGACGTTGGAGTGCTGAACATCAAGCTGGCCAAGGAGGCTGGACAGGAGGACATGGACATGGAGATTAATGATGCGATCGTGGCTACATGTAGCCAAGCCATTGATGACGGTGCCGATGACGACGACGACTACCCCTTCATGCAGAGCCTCCAAGGCGCCAAGCACACCACGGGAAGGAAACACAAGGGCGGCAGGCCCAAGAAAAAGAAGCACAAGCGCAAGGCGCAACCACCAGGCGAGGCACCTGCAATTGAGGGCATCCTGCAACGGTGGCCGCAAGTCGGCCCATCGGCTAAGGCTAAGGCCGCCGCCGCCGCGAAGGCGGTCATGAAGAAGCCAGTGAAGCAGACGGCGAAGAAACCCGCAGGCGCGGTTGCTAAGAAGGCAAAGGAGCACGAGGCAGGAGGTGAGGAGGAGGATCCGCTCGCCGCAGGAGCTGCAGGCAGCGGCGCCCAGGCAGAGGCAGCGGCGGCGGCACCGCCAGATGCAGCGATCGCCGTCCACGATGGCAACCAGGACGAGGAGGACGAGGAAGAAGCGCAGGACGAGGAGGGCGCAGAGGAGGAGGGCGAGGAGGAGGACGCGCCCGAGGAGCACGAGGAAGGGCCCGAGGAGGAGGAATCGCCCGAGGAGGCTGACGCGGCAGGTGCAGCGCCCCCTGGCTACGGCCCGCTGAGCCACTACCCGTGGCCCCCGTCGGACGAGTACGGCACGCTCGCGCGCTACGAGGACACGTCGGGCCAGTCGATGAGTGTGAGAATCGTCCGCAGGAAGAGCGAGTCCATCAGCACGATCAAGTACAAGAACGAGTTCACGCAGTGGAAGTGGCAGCAGATGCTTCAAGTGCCAGATAGTTCGGTTCAGGAGTGGCAGATCAAGCAGCTAGCACTGGACGACGTGGCGACGACGACAATGGCCTCCGAGACGATCATCAAGCACATCTTCAATCGGATTGTCGCGACCCGCGCCGCTGACAAGCACGCGGCCATGCACATCAAAAAGGAGGCGTACATCGAGCTGGGCATCAGCGAGCAGGTATTCTAGAGGTGGGAGGGCGCAGGGCAGTATAGGACAGCAAGCGCGACGGTCAAGATAATGACGACTACGGATCAGCTCAGGATTACGACAACGATGGTGACTACGATTGTGACGGCCATGGTAAATTGAGATAACTATGGAGATCAACGATGGGGATCGGGAGTATGCTCATCTTGCAGCCTACACGGGGCCTCGTTGAAGCAGGGCACCGTGTTATTCCAGCCACCTCGACAGCTCATTGCTTGCATCACTGAATGCTGGTTTTGAAGATTATGAAATATTCTAAGTGCTCCCCATACATCCTTTAGCCTTAGCTTTGGTGTCGGACGGGAGGTGGCGCGATGCAGGATGACATGATGGACTTCGCAGATCCAGCATTCGTGGGAAGGCTGCAGTGGGGGGGATCTCATTTCCATGCGTCCTCCTCCCTTACCCGTCCTTGCCCTCCCAGTCCCCGTCCCTCCCTCCCTCCCTAACTCTCCCTCTCTCCCCGTCTCGCTCTTTCTCTGTCCTTTTTCCACCCCTGGAATCCATTCCTGCACTGCCCTCGTCCAGTTCCCAATGTCGGGGCCCCGTGGCAGCAAACATACATATCTTAGAGGCTGCTATAGTTTGTATTTCGTGATCGACGTTATCGGCGTCATCGGGTCCGTCTACATCTTGCACGGGCTGCTGGCCAGCTTGTAGGCCGTCGGCTGGGGCGGCAATTACGATGTAGGGATGAGGTTGGGTAGAGGAGCACGAACGAGGAGCTCTGGAGGAGATGAGAGGATACGAGGTTGACACGCGCTGCAAAATGAGTTAAGAACCATTATGTCGGGCAGATGTTTGAGCTTGCTTTAGCTGCGCCGTGGCAATCGAGCCTGGATTGGTTCGCTCCCAACGTCCACGCCCCTCTGCATCGATGCGTGCGTCCCGTCCAGCTTCCTTCCACCTGCCAGTACAAACGAACCGACCACACACACTCACATCCATTCATCATCTCATCGCCCCCCCACTTGGTTATGCAATGTGATGCTCCCACCCCCCCGCGCCAGGTGAACGGATGATATCGACTTTGACTTTCTCCGTGGGCTTGACGGCTCTTTGCAGGGAGGGCGCGCAGTGCGGCCTCGAAAAACAGAGGAATGATCCAATGCGGGGATGCTCCCGCAGGGATGCTCTGTTCTTGCCTCTTCGCTTGCTCCGTCGGTCCGTTTACGAGCCGACGATCGATGATCGACGCGTCGACGATTGATGCGTCAAGATAGGGGCGAATCCATGGCCCAGGCTCCGACGATCCATCGAACCAGGATGAGGCGATGTACACAGCACCGCAGCTAGGTCGAACGATTTGGCAACTCTTCTCAGGCGACCCTCGAGCTCGAATATATGCGCTGCTTTCAGGGCGCCACTAACGAGGGGGAGGGGAAAAGCAGGAGGAGGAGGAGGACGAGGCGGATGGGGTACGGGACCAAATGGGAGTTGGAGGAGGGGGGAGGCGGCGGAGCAGGAGGAGGGGGAGGAGGAGGCGGAGGAGCAGGACGAGGAACACGGTATCCAGACGCCATACGCAGCAGGGACTGCGGAATCATCGGCCCCTCCTCCACCTCCTCCTCGCGCTCCTCTCTCTCTCTCTCTCTCTCTCTCTCTCTCTCTCTCTCTCTCTCTCTCTCTCTCTCTCTCTCTCTCTCTCTCTCTCTCTCTCCTCTCTCTCTCTCTCTCCTCTCTCTCTCTCTCTCTCTCTCTCTCTCTCTCTCTCTCCTCTCTCTCTCTCTCTCTCTCTCTCTCTCTCTCTCTCTCTCTCTCTCTCTCTCTCTCTCTCTCTCTTTCTCTCCTCTCGCTCCCTGCGCACAATTGCAAATGCCTCTGGGGAGGGATGAACGGCGGAGGGGTAACATTATTCACCGCTGTTTGACGATCGATAGCGGCCGTTCGTCTCAGAAATCGCATCCGCATCCGAATGAACGGGTGTCTCCTGTGCGTGCGGCCTGGTGTCGCGCGCATTCACGCGCGCGCTTCGATCGGGAAAACACGCGCGCCGCGGGGCCTCCTATGGGACCCCTCCTCTCTTTCGTCCCTCCTCTGGGCTCCTGCCTCCTGCCTCAGGGCTCTCCCCTGCTCCTGCCTCGGGGCCCTCCTTTGCCATCCAGCCTGCTCGAGAAGCACCCGCGGCACGCGTCTTTCCAGAAGCTGGCAACTCGAGTTGCAGGCGAACGGGGAGATACGCTCGACGCATGCACAAGGGGACAGATCAATGCGGGGATGAGGAGGGCTCGAGCTCGAAGAGGAGTGGAAGGTGTAAAGGGAGGAGGAGGAGGATGCAAGGTGATGGGAGGCATACATACGTTTGCGAGAACGGGAAGGGCTCGAGTAGTCCTAAGACACTGCTCTCCACCAGATGGCTTGACTACACGCATGTCGGGGTCAGGGGGTGATGCGTGATGTTGTGGCGTTGGTGCGTGAGCGCGCGTGTGAGCAGGCGAGCGTGCGTCAGTAGGGGTCAATATATTCGCGCGCGCATGCTTACAACTCTAAATATATACACCTGCATATATGCACCTGTAGATGTGCGCCTGCTTCGTTTACATGCTCACGTTCACGTACGTGTGTACAAATACGTACGAATTCATAAGTGCATACATAGGTGTGTGCACACTAGCGTACAGTTGGTATGCGTGCATGACCGCGTGAGTAGTTGCAAATACGTATGCGACTTCGAAGTACGATCTGCATACATGTATGTACATACATGGTGTGCATACATGGGCGTATACATATATGCCGTACTATGTTATACCACATGAGTGTGTACATGTATTGTACGGCTACAATTGCATGTATGTATGCGTCGACGTACATTTCCGTTTATATATATATATGACGGAGGAGGAGGATGAGGCTGAGGGAAGGAAGGAAGGGACGGAGGGGGAGAGGGAGGGAGGGAGGGCGAGAGTGATATCGAGGGAGTGAGTGTGAGAGGGAGGGAGGGAGGAAGGAAGGATGGAGGAGGAGGAGGAGGGGAAGGGGAAGGAGGAGGAGGATGAGGAGGCGGAGGAGGAGGAGGAGGAGGAGCAGGAGGAGGAGGAGGAGGAGGATGAGGAGTGAGGATGATGAAGAGGAGGAGGATGCTAATGATGAGGATGGTGATGATGAGGAGGAGGAGGAGGAGCAAGATGAGGACCATGGTGAGGCTGATGGGGATGATGATGAGGATGGAGATGAGGAGGACGAGGAATATGATGAGGATGAGGAATATGTGATGGAGAGGCACTCGTTTTGTTGACCATCTGAAGGCCTACATGGCCCGCGGCAACTGTTATTTCAAACAAAAACTGGAATATGACAGCAAAATCCGTGCGCGCGCGTATACATATATTAATGTGTGTGTGCATGTGTGTGTTGCGTGTATGCGTGCATGCGTGCATGCATGTGCGCGCGGGAGGAAGCGGGGATGCAGCGGGAACAGAGCGGTGCCGCCCAGGTGCAGCAGGTGCACCTGGGCTCGCAGGACATGGCTGGACATCACCGACGACATATACGCAGCTTTTGTTTACACGCGCGGATTGACTAGACTTGCCGCGCTTAGGGGTGGGGGGCGCCCACCGATTCCCGAGCTGCCCCATGGGGGGGGGGGGCACCCTTCCCCCCCCTTCCCCCTTCGGCCCTAGGGGGGCCGATCTGCCCTCGCCCCATATATACATCGAAACCCCACCGCCCCCCCCCCCCCCACCCCTCCTCCCCCGCCCACGCCCCCTCCCCCCCCTGCTCCCCTGGGGAAGGGGGGGTGCGTCAGAAATCCTAAGCACCTGAAAGCCTAGTAAACCTATCCCCATGGGCCCTGCGAGCTCAAGTCCCCTGGCGGCGCCCCCTCCCCCCCTCTCCCCTGGCCCCTCGGAGATGCGCACCCGTACCCCCCCCCCCCCCCCCCCCCCCCCCCCACCACCCCCCCCCCCCCCCCCTCCCCGCCCGCACACACCCCTCCCCCCACCCTCTGCGGCCCTGAGGGATCGCCCCGAACTCCCATCGCCCCCGACTTTTTGCCAGGCCCGCAAGCGCCCCCCCCCCCCGCCCCCGCCTTCCCCCCACCCCGATCGGCACCCAGCGCCCCCCTGAAGGCCTTCGAAGCTCACCCGAGCACCCCTCAAAGCCCTCGAAGCTCACCCGAACGCCCCTGTGTGCCCTGGAATAGGCCCCGACCCCCGCACGGGAGACGCGCGATACTCTTCGGGCGGTTGATGATTTTCATTGCGTTTTAATGTTTTTTATATGTTTTTTAATGTTTTTCATGTTTTTTATTGTGTTCTAATGTGTTTCATGTTTTTTTTGTATAACGTTTTCTGACGTTTTCTAATGTTTTTTATATGTGTTTTAATGTTTTCTTGGGTTTTAATGTGTTTTCATGGTTTTTTTATATGGTTTTTAATGTTTTCTTGTTGTTTAATGTGTTTTCACGTTTTTTATATGTGTTTTAATGTTTTCTTGTGTTTTAATGTTTTTAACGTTTTCTATTGCAGCGTGTTTTATTGTGTTTTAATGTTTTTATATGTGTTTTAATGTATTTATTGTGTTTTATTGTGTTTTAATGTTTTTAAATGTGTTTTAATGTTTTCTTGTTTTCTAATGTGTTTTAATGTTTTTTTAATGTGTTTTAATGTGTTCTTGTGTTCTAATGTGTTTTAATGTTTTTTATATGTGTTTTAATGTTTTCTTGTTTTCTAATGTGTTTTCATGTGTTTTATATGTTTTTTAATGTTTTCTTGTGTTCTATTGTTTTTTAATGTTTTGTATGATAACGTTTTCTATTGTGTTTCAATGTTTTTATATGTGTTTTAATGTTTTATTGTTTTTTCATGTTTTTTAACGTTGTTAATGGTTTCTAATGTTTTTTAATGTGTTCCCGCTGCCCGTAACGTTTCTTAATGTTTTCTAATGTTTTTTAAATGGTTTTTAATGTGTTTCTTGTTTTTTAAATGTTTTTCTTGGTTCTTAATGTTTTTTTAATGTTTTTTAATGTTTTTTAATGTTTTCTACTGGGCGGGCTCCCGCGCGCCCTGCGGGCGGCGGAGGGGGGGGCGCGCGCGCGCGCTCGGCCCCCGTGGGCACCTCGGCGCAGCCACCGCAGGGCGCGTGGGACCTCGGGGGACACATGTGGAGGCCCTGCAGGGACGTTGAGCCACGTCGGGAAGATCGAGGGGGATATCGCGCGCGTCGGGCGACCGCGGGGGCGTGTCTGCGCGCGCACTGCGCAGCGCATGCGCGCACGCGCGCGCTGCCCCTCTAAGTGGCCTGTAGTGCCGCGCTGCAGGCGACGGGGAGATAGATCCCAAATGGTCTGAATATTGCGCGACCGCGAAAAAAAAAGTGCGGGTCCAAACGTGTGCGTGTGTGTGTGCTCGTGTGAGTGAGCGCGCGCGCGTGGGGATGAGGAATAGTGTGTATAGGATGGGGAAGCGATGCTGAGTTTCTGAATATTGCGGGACCGCGAAGACGGCTGGCCGGGCCAGCGCCTGAGGGGGGGGTCGACCACCGCGGGCTTATATTGGCCTCTCCCCCCGCTCTCAGGAGATCCTGGATCCCGAACGGTTCTTTCGCCTCCGTGATCTCCCCCCAAAAAAAGAGGGAGGGGAGGTGATGGCCCCCAAGGGCAAAGCAAAGATGACCCCCGCCCAGAAGAAGCAACGGGCGAAAGAGCGCCGCGACAACCCTGACATCAGGGCACACGAGAACGAGATGCAGAGGCTGAGGATCGGTTCAATTGTCACCTCTTTAGCAATCGATGGCATTCTCGGTTCTGTGTTCTACCGTCATCTTCAATGAGCACAGGCGAAGATCGAGGTGGACAGTGAGGGTTTGAGGAAGATGAGGACGAGGAGGAGAAGGAGGAGGAGGAGGGGGAGGAAAAGGATGGGGAGGAGGAAAAGGAGGAGGAGGAGGAGGAGGAGGAGGGCGAGGAGAAGGAGGCGGAGGAGGGAGGATGAGGAAGAAGAAAACACGGGAGACCCTGAGGGTATCGGGACCGCAGGACCCAGATGAAGGCCAGCAAGGCCGCTGTGCGCAAAGAGTTCAAGGGCCTCTACGGGCCTGCGAGGAAGGAGTTCGTCAAGGTGTGGCGCGAGACAGGCTCTCGCGGAGAAGGAAGGAAGGGATATGCGAGGGAAAGGACGGGAGAGGGAGGAGGAGGAGGAGGGGGAGGAGGAGGAGCAGGAGGAAGAGGAGGAGAAAAAGGAGGAGGAGGAAAAGGAGGAAGAGGAGGAGGAAACGGAGGAGGAGGAGGAGGATGAGGAGGATGAGGATGAGGAGGAGGAGGAGGAGGAGGAGGAGGAGGAGGAGGAGAGGGAGGGAGGATGATGATGATCGAGGTGGAAGAGGATTAGGAGGATGATGGTGATGATGTCGATGTTGATGTTGATGTTGATGCTGATGCTGATGTTGATGTTGTTGATGATTATGATGCTGATGATGGTGATGACGATGGTGGCGATGATGTTGGCGATGCTAATGGTGATGGCAGAAGGAAGGGGTGGAGGTGAAGAGGCGAGGGGAGGGATGCGAAGGGAAGAGGGGACAGAGGGGAGGGAGGTGAAGATGAGCGCACGGAGGTGAAGAGAAATAAGAGGGGGCGGCGGGGAGGGACGGAGGGGACGGATGGACGCAGGGGAGGGAGGAGGATGAAGGGGAGGGAGGGGAGGGGGGCCCCGTGCAGAGGAGAGCGGACGGAGGGGAGGGAACTTCAACCACGCGCAGTGCAACAAGATCGAGCGCACTGACAAAGAAACGAGAGACCAGTGGACTTCCGTGTGGAGGAACTTCGATCAGCTCTTGACGGATTTCGGTTGGGAGCCCAGCATCGCGGACACCGACTACGGGAAAAGGAATGGATTTCGATAGAAGGGGCCGATGCGGATGAGGAGGAGGAGGAGAAGGAGGAGGCGGAGGAGGATACGTGATGTCCATACATATCGGGTGGCATGATAGCGATGATGATTCTAGGAGGTGGGTCACGGAGAGGGAAGCGGCAATGAAGGGAGGTAGATCCAGCATGGTGGGCCATAGACTACACCATGAAGGGCAAGTAGGGGCACCATCATGTCAGCAGCAGGACCAGGAGGATGAGGAGGAACAGGAAGGATGCGCCTGGGATAAGGGAGGAGGAGGAGGATGGAGGAGGAAGAGGAGGAGGAGGACGAGGAGGAGGAGGACGAGGAGGAGGAGGAGAAGTGGCAACAGCAACTGCAACGTTGGGCGCGATGCATCAAAGTGTCTCCAGGGCGTATGCGCGGGCCGAAGCCGTGCGCGACAACTGCAAGAAAATGAAACGGACTCACGTGAAGGTGGGGGTGGTGGGTTTGGGGAATTCATTGTTTGTTCACTTCGTGATGGATCCTTTCATTTGGCAGAGAGAATTCCCTGGTGCCCCGTGCACGCGGTCCGCAGAAGGGAGCCCCTGGCTGCGGTGCAGAGGTGGAAGGGTTTCGGGAGGTGGCGGGGAGAGCGGGGCGGGCCAGGTGGACCCCCAGACTGGCGATGAGATCTATCGGCGCCTGACCGAGACGAACGCGGACACCCAGGCTCGTGCATGCAACAGGGTATAGGAGGAGAGCGACGAAGTCGACGACGACGGCGACAACGGCGACTAGGAGGAGCAAAATGACGTAGGAGGCTGATGATCAGTGGCGGCGAGCAGCACTAGTGAACGGCAACTGCAACAATTTAGCAACGGGGAGCAGCAACAGCAATGGATGTCCAGCGCCCCCCTAGCCGTCAGGCCAAGCTCAAGAGGATTGAGACGTCCATCAGCAAGGACAAGGCCATCCCTGCTGGTACCAAGACGCAGGCTCGCAGGGACTCCTCGAGCTATGATCTTGGATTGTTGATGATGATGACGGTGAGGTTGATGGCGACGATGATGACGACTATATTGCTTGTCATGATGATGGTGACGAAGACGATAATGGTGCTGATGATGACGACGACGATCGTGATGATGAGAAAGATGATGATATTGATGATGATGCTGATGCTGATGCTGCTGCTGATGATGATGATGATGACGATGATTATGATGATGATGATGATGATGATGTTGATGATGATGATGATGATGATGAGGATGATGATGATGATGATGATGATGATGATGATGCTGATGATATGGCGGTGGTGTGACGTCTGGTGCCAGACGCACAATACGAGCCCGCACGGGCGAGGAGGATCAGGAGCAGGAGGAGGAGGAGGAGGTGGTGGATGAAGAGGAGGAGGAGAGGGAGGAAGGTCGAGGAGGAGGGAGAGGGGAGGAGGAGGAGAAGGGGGAGGAGGAGGAGGAGGAGGAGGAGGAGGGGGATGATGAAGAGGCGGAGGAGGATCAGAGGAGGAGGAGGAGGAGGAGGAACTGTCTGTATACCGTCTCTTCCTGAGTCGCCTGACCTATCGAATCGGAGATGGGACGGGGAGGTGGCCGCTGCCAAAGCCGAGCCCATGTCGGAGACGGACCTCGAGGGCAGCGAGTACAGCTACTCCCCATCGAGCGAGGATCCTGGATTGTTCGATGAAGAGGGAAGACGGACGAGGGTAGCCCGTCCGAGCTCCTAGCCCTTCAGAATGGGTCGGAAATCCGCAACCGAACGACGCACCCGAGGGCGAGCTATACCGAAGAGGGGGCCGACTCAGGACGAGGGGCACACCCTCTCGAACTCGTTCGGTCCCCTCTCCAGCTCTCTCGTCCAAGGACGAGTCGTTCGGGCCCCTCCCTTCCTGGCAGGCGTCTTGCCCCCCCCGAGCCCTTCCGATGAGTTCGGAGGCCTCATGTATGTATGTTATACATACATGCGCATGTGTATATTATATGTGTATGTGTACATGTATACAAACATGTGTGTATGTATGTACGTGTAAGTATGTGTGTATACAGATCTGGCGGGCCATGTATGTATGTTATACATACATGCGCATGTGTATATTATATGTGTATGTGTACATGTATACAAACATGTGTGTATGTATGTACGTGTAAGTATGTGTGTATACAGATCTGGCGGGCCGTGGGTTCCTGGGGTCCAACAGGGGGGGGGGGGGGGGCTCGAGGTCCTCAGCGCCTGGGGCCACCACAATCTGGCGCGTTCCGTTGACAGGAGGAGGACCCCGCTGGAACTGCGTCAACGCAGGCTGGCACCGCCTCCGCGTCGACGAGCGGGGTCGATCCCGTGCTCTCGAAGGCCCTTGCCGATTCGTTGCACATCTGGACCTTGTTCGATGGGCTCTGCGTCGGGGCTGGGGGGGCATGTCAAGAGGAGCGAGAGGAGGGTTAAGAGAATGTGAGGGGGAAGGAGGGAAAGGGGAGAATGGGGGCTGGGAGGGGAGGGAGGGGGAGCAGGATGAGGGAGAGGAAGCGGTGGCTATCGACCCACGTGTTTGCATCCATTTGCCAAGATAGTGGCGATAGCATCGACAGCAGTTAACATTAGTTGCCCCCGTTTCGTTGCGAGGGCAGTCGCACGTTCGTATCCTGCGGAGGGGAGGTCAAGGAGAACACCTGGTTGAAGCCGTGGGAGGCGAAGATCCAGGAGACTAAAGCGAACCTCGTTACGATCAAAGAGAACATCACGAAGACTATTCAGGGGAAGTCAGCCCCCCGTCGTCGTTTTTGAGTTGGGTTTAGCTCCGAGACAACATGGAATATGTTTGCCACGGGTACACGATTCCAGACACTTGAACACATTGCGAGTGCAGGGGCTGTGTTATAGGCGCTGGAGGAAGAGGAGGACAAGAGAGGGCCTGCCAAACAACTTTCGCGGGCAAGGAGGATGAGGAGTGCGAGGAAGAGGAGGACAAGGGGGGAGGAGATGGATGAGCTAGGGCATGGTGGTGGCAGCGGTGGCGGCAACGAAGACGAGGATTGCAACAGATGGCCGCGCCGTAGGTGCGACAAGAAGGATACCGCGAAGGCCGAGCAGGTGAATCGGGAGATCCAGCAGGCGCGACCTGCGTGATTAGAGCTCTGGTTCAGGGGATTCGCTCGGAGAAGCTAGGGTTCAGATCAGATGAACGCGTGATGAGGCTGTTTCTCAAGATTCTTCGAATGTTCTAAGTAGTTTGTTTTGTCTCCGTTCTGCCATTCTTAATTCGTTCTTGTGCTAGTCCCATTCAAATAGCCCCCCTCCCATATATCCTGACCAGGCTACGCACCTGTGGAACAGCCTCGCCGAGGTGAAAGCCACCATGGAGAATGCCCTGGGGTCCAGCGGCCTCGCGTGAGGTTTCGTTCAGGGCGGCCAGCAGGGCCATTGCTGCTGGAGGGTGGAGGTGAGCGAGAGCGGAAGTCTGGGGGAGAGGGGGAGGGAGGGATCGAGGGAGAGGGGATTGCGCGAAGAGTGCAATGGGGAAAGGACGGGAGGCAGACCAGCGGTGGGCTCCGAATTACTGCGTGGGAGAATTCCGAGCTTTGAGTTCAGGCGCGCAGGCCATTTGAAGTTCCAGGATCCTGGTTCTCGGTCCCTTGAGCTGCATGGGGCCCACGTTTCCACACGCAGTGCTGCACGATGATACGATGTATTCCCTGGACCCCCAGAGTTTCGATGCCGCGCGGGCTTGGAGTCGAACCCAGGATCTTGATGCAGATATACATGTGTATATTGGTGTTGTTGGACAATTTTCGGCTCGGCACGCGCGTGCCTAGTATGCCCGTTGAGGCAGGGAGCCTCGAGAGTGCACGCCTGAGAAATAGATGTCGCGAGGTACCGCCCGTGCCAGAGTCATGGGCCACAGAGAAGCAGAAGCAGCAGGGGAAGGAGGAGGGAGGATAAGTAGGGAAGAGTATGATCGGCAACTGTCAAGAAACACGCTGCTCAGGGTATCATCCTTTGTCCCACGAACCTCGCGTATTAGATGAGAAGATGGACGGAACAAGAACACGACACTAGCAGCCGCTACTTGATATCGTGTCTCTTACGCGCACTTGTCAAACTCCATCGGCCGTAGCCCTCCAGCCGTTCTGGTTCAACATATTGTGACATCAAGTGTGTTAACATGTATCCTTCAGAATGGCGGCGCGGGCCGCAGCAACGTCAATGCTGTTGCGCGGGGATAGCGCGTCGGCTGGAGGGCCGCCGCCGATGGAGGTTGACCAGTGGCTCGATCAAAAGGCTGGCCGCCCCCTCGCGTGTCCCACCAAGGGTTGAGGGGCATAGGAGCGGGAGGAAATGCGGAGAGGGCGCCGCGTGTCCCACCAAGGGTTGAGGGGCATAGGAGCGGGAGGAAATGCGGAGAGGGCGCCTGGGAGGAAGGGAAGGGGGAACGCCTTTGGTGGGCACGCGTGGGAGAGGCGCTCTTTGACCGAGCCAACCGAAGGAGGAACCGCCGACCGACGGCGGAGCTGGGTTGCGGAAGTACCTGCTCGAGAGATGGAAGCTAGGGAAGCTCACGTCCAAGGAATGGTTGAACGCCTCTGTGAAACCATACCCAAAAATACCCCCAACAGGATGAGGATATCAAGAAACGAGGGGGATGAGGAGGAGAAGGAGGAGGAGGAGGAGGAGAAGGAGGATGAGGAGGAGGACGAGGAGGAGGGGGAGTAGGGGAGGGATGAGGAGGGAGTTGTTTGAGGGGTCAAGTTTCCTTTCGATGTCGGGGGCGTTCAGCCGCAGGACTTGTGCACAGTCGCATGGCATTCAATGAGAGCTGGTGGGACAGGCGTTGGTGATTTAGCGTTGCACCCAGACGACACCCATCACACTGACCATATCCGCCAGGCGCTCCGCCTCAAGGGCCAAGATACGTTCTTTACCGCGCCAATAGTTGTATGGAATAAAGAAACAGAGTCGCGTAAAGAAATACAGTTCCCATTTCATCTCCCTCACGAGGCCTTTGCTGAGAGATATGCAGCTTCGCCTTCAGAGTTCGACTTGGGCCAATTGGCTCCCGAGGACGTGCCACCACTGTATCACGGCCATGTTGTAACGAGAAATAAGGGAGCCAAAAGCTTCCCGATTGGCTTTTACTCTGACGGTGTACCTCAAAGCAAAAAGGACACATTTCTGTGTTATTATTGGAGCAACGCGGTGTCAGAATCCAGGCATTTAATATGTACTCTGAGAAAGTCAGATACTTGCCAGTGCGGCTGCAAAGGCGGCTGCACTATTGGAGGCGTGATGCGTGTAATTACTTGGAGTCTCAATTGCTTGGCCGAGGGGAAGTACCCTGCGCTATCGTGCGATGGCAAGCCCATCACATGTGAATCACGTGCGGCGCGTCGAGGTTTCGAGCTGGCAGACGGCCTCTGCGGGGCCTTGGTTGAGTATCGGGCGGACCTCTTGGAATTTCAGACCGCCCTCGGAGTGAAGAGGTGGGGCAACGTGGACTCCCCGTGCTTCTTGTGTAAGTGCACCAAGGCCGAGTTGCACCAATACCCTAGGTCACCAGAAGAACTAGCTCTCACGTGGGTCGAAAAAGACGTGGCCGCATATCAGCACATGGTTAACACATCTATAAAAGAATTTATAGTGACTGACAAGAGCCAGCTATTGCGCCTGGTATCTTGCATGCGGCACAACGAAACTCTCGGCGGCCTGGGATTGGTGGAACCGTTCCCAGAGCTAGGCTTGGCCAAAGGATGGAGGTTGGAACAGTGGGGTTCAGTTACAGATACTTATAAGGTGTCAGAAATAGATTGCTCACCTCAAGAACCTGCACGCCTGAGATTTTTTGATACAACGAACCACGTCGGTCTTAATTTTATAGCCCCGATATTTAGTGTAACTGGTTTTACATATGCCATGGTCGGGCTAGACTTGATGCACGTTGTGGATCTAGGAATATCCCAGTACTTAGTAGGAGCAGTTTTTTCCACCCTCATCGAGGGCAACTTCGCCAATAGTCGAGAAACCACGGCCCCAGTGCGGCGCAAGGCCAACATGCGCATGCTGAGACAACGCCTAAAGGCGTATTACATAGCCAGCGCAGAGTACTTTGATCGTGGACAAATGAGTCAAATATTTAGGCTCTCTCTTGCACAACTTGGCCCGCCACACAACCCACGGTTGCACGCCAAAGCCGCGGAGACACGGCAATTGATAAGGCTGCTCCCTGATTTATGCCGCGAAAACGCGGGGCACTTCAGAGGTAGCACAGTTATGTTCCTACCGCACTGCTGTCGGCAAATGGCAAAGTTTCACGACATAATCGAGTCTCACCCTCGTGTGCTGCCAGACCTGGCTAAAGCCGACCTCGTGGATACAGCGTTCGCGTTTGCCCACTACTGGCAGAGGACTGGCGCGCGCACTGTGTACAAGCATCACGTCTTCTTGCATTTAGCAATGCGCTCAGCATACATGGGCAACCCTCGTCGGTATTGGACATATATCGACGAGGGGGTCAACCGTACGATGGCTTCCATAGGGAAATCCCTGCATCACGGCGATACTTTCTACTTCCGTTTCTTGGAGAAGGCCATTGCTGAGTTGTTGTGATCAAAGAGAGCGCCGCCCCGCCGCCTCTCGCACGGGGGGGCAGGCAGGATTGAGCCAGCGTGCACGGAGCGAGAGCGGAGGGATGAGGAGAAGGATGTTTTTTTTTTCCGGTTTACTTATACTTTCAACGATGGCGGCCTCCAAGGGCCCCTCCTGGAGCCCACCCAAAACAAAAAGCGACGCTGGACAGAAAAATAGCCCTAGGGAAACTGCCCAGACCCTACCTTCGGAGGAAGGATGCTGAGGAAGGCGTTTCCGCTTATCGATTTCTTTTTGTTCAACGACTGCGGCCCCCGCAAACCGCTGAAGCCATGGGACCGAAAAAACACTCAAGACGCAAAACTTGCTATATGGGAAAGCCTCGGGGGAGGCAATTCTGGAGGAAGGATGATGAAGAGGATTTCTCGTTTTCGATTCTTTTTTTTTTTCTACGGCTGCACGGCTTCCAGGGGCCAGCGTCGAGTCCCTGGGATCGAGAAAAATCATTCAGGATGAAAAGCTGGACGCGCACGGAACGAGAGGGGAGGGCGGAGGAGAAGGATGAGGATTTTTTCCGGTTTACTTATACTTTCAACGATGACGGCCTCCAGGGGCCGCCTGGAACCCACCCCCAAAAAAAACGACGCTGGACAGAAAAATGACCCTAGGTTAACTGCCCTGCAGATCCTACCTCCAGAGGAAGGATGTTGAGGAAGGTTTTTCCGCTTATCGATTTTTCGTGCGACTGCGGCCCCCAAGAACCGCTGAGGCCCTGGAGCCGAAAAAAAAATCAGGACGCAAAACTTGCCTTCAGACCTTGGAGG